CGAATAATATTACAGTAACATTAGTTGTCGTCTAGAGGACTTCAACTCCCAGAATTCTCCACCCAGCGTACTGTATGTGGACTTCAACTCCACACATGCTGGCTGGGGATTTCTAGGAGTCGAAGTCCACACATCTTCGCGTTTCTGAGGTTGAGAAACACTGCTCTAGAGATTTAAATTCCGGACCTGCAAGCTGTGTGAATTGGGCCAGCGGCCACGGCTGCTCTTTATTTGTGTAACTTGTTCAGCTTCTGTTTGTCAAGCAGGGAGATGAGAATCTTGGCAGGTCATGAAAATTTTGCTCACCATTTCTAGACATTTTATTCAGCTGACTCCCTCTGGCTCCTGAGATGTCAGCAAAGAGGGCGCTTTTTGCTTTCAAGCATTTCTGTTTCAGCTTCGATTCAAAACAAAACCCAAAACTGAGATTCCAGAACCCTGCACTTAAGTAAGGAACCATTCTGCAGGTTCTCGCGTGCTTCCACCACTGCATCAGGTTGTGTAAAGGACACGACCTGGTGAATCCCAGCGTCATCAACAACCAGGGATTGTGGGTTTGCAGATGGCATAGTGTGACCACACGATGGCAGGCCGCTCCCGACCCATCAAACCTAGGAGCCCTAAAAACATCTGAAGAAAATGTATTTTTAGCGGCTCTTGGTTTTTATTAACCTGTAGATTTGATTATCATTCAAGGGACGCCGTTTAATCTTTTATCCCTGATTCTGATCCCAACAGCTTGCAGAAGTGAAAGCAACCGAGAGAAGCCTCCGGATCCGTGTGAAGAACCTAACCAATGAGCTGGCTTTGTACAAAAAGGGGTGAGTGCCCTCAGCCGGTCCCACATTTGACCATTTGGGCAAAGAGGGTGCCCGCTCTCTCCCAGCTGAGCGCTTCCCATCTCCTCCCTCCCCAGGCACTTCCTGCCCACCGGATCTTCTCCCCCAAACACCTCTCGCCACTTCTCTCGCCCCGCCCTGAACCGAACCGGGGCCACAAAGCGAGATGGCCGACGCTCCGCCTCTGGCGAACGGTCCAACTCACAGGAGCGCAGCGTGCCCTGGGGAATCAACCGGCAGCGGTCCACGTCCAGGGAAGGGCGCAGCGGGAGCCAGGGACGCGTCTCCCGGCAGTCTCCGTCTCCGACAGGTGGGGAAAACAGTAGGCCTTCTCCAGGCACCGTCTTTTTGATGGCCCCGCCTTGAGCCAATGTTTGCAGTTACTATCAATTTTGCTTGTTACCTCTAGATATGGGGAGGGAATGGCAGGGAGCTCAGGAGCGCAATCCTGTACCCAGCGACAATTCCCTTTTGCTTTTGCTTCTGCCTTCCAAAATATTCTGCTCTTACTCCAAGCTTGTTTCTCGATCGATGGGGTCTAGAATCTTTTTTATTCTTTGTTGAAAAAGGGAATTTCTATATCTGCTGGCACATGTGATTGTAAATGTTTTATTAAACGTTGGGAGTTGAACCTCCCTGCTGATCTACTGTAAATTGCCCAACCCTCTATTAATAGGCGTTCATCCATCTTTTGACCACCTCTCTCCTAGGAAGTAGCCAACGTTTGTGGCATCTTATGTTTTCTAATAAGGGCTTACGTCTTGTGGGAAAAGGGCAAGTCTTTCTTTAGCTAGCCTATTAAAAAAAAAAAAATCGAGGCTGAGCCTTTGGAAGTTCTGTCCTGTAGCCCAAACAGGTTCCTTGCAGGTCCATCGCTCCACCTCTTTTTCCGACCACAGGTATCCGGGCACCTCGCTTTGACCCTACAGCCTTCGTGAAGGCCAAGGAACGGAAACAAAAGGAGATCGAGCAGAAGAAGTGAGTTAACTCTCCTGCAGAAATGGCTTTTTTCTCCAGCCCAGTCTCCCACCCCAGGCTGTTGTCTGCCCCAGGCCTAACCAACTCGTAGAGGGCAAAGGGCCATGTTGATGAATTAAAAATAATCACAGGCTGCAAAGGAGTGGCTGGGGCACCAATCAGCTGTTTGGCAGCTAGCAGCGCAGTGGCAGTGATGGGGGGGGCGTTCGACAGCATGTGTTTTGGACAGTGGTGGATTTACTGAGTTTTTTAAAAACGCTGGTGGGCCCCAGGCCATATGTTATGCTGGCCTGGTCTGCTCCTGGAATCGAAAAGACCATCGCTCCTTTTCCTTTGCAGCAAGCGGTGTCTCCAACGGGGAATGGGGGACACCCCCCCTAGTGGGTGGTACCACCGCACCCAGCTCAGGGGCCCTTCAGTCCTCCATGGCAGCAGCCTTGGGAAGCCACGAGGCCGGAGCTCTTCAGGTAGGCCTAATGCTCCAAGATGGCTTTATTTCTCTTTATTCTACCAGACCCCCAGGGTGCAAAGGGTCGGTGGCTCCTCAGATCAGTTCTTTGAACTGCTTGTACTCAAGAAGGGAAACAGCAGAGGAAACGGAGAGAAGTGAGCAAACAGGATAAGCTGGGCAACTGTAGGGTGAATCCAGTTGTGCATACAGGAAGTCCCCAGTTTAAGAACGAGTTCTGTTCCCAAGGTCTGTCCTTAAGTCGAATTTGGACGTGAGCTGGAACAGTATTATTGTATAATATTGTCTAAGTCAGTGTTTCTCAACCTTGGCAACTTTAAGATGCGTGGACTTCAGCTCCCAGAATTCCCCAG